CGTCAGTGTGTTTCTTTCAGTATGATGGACAACCGATTATATTTTCATCCACTTTGTTAGTTTCTTTGGGAAATGAATGAAAAAGAACGATACGATTGAGAATTCTCAATAACAGAACTCTGTTTTTAACTACCCACCCTAACATTCTTTCTGTGATGACTTTGTTTATAAAATAAATAGAATAATTAGAAATTAGATCTGTAACCTGTCATAACAGACATATAAAATACAAATATATGTGTATATTATTCTAATATGCAAATCACTGGATACATGATTACAGGCCAGAAATGTGTTTTGTTAATACCTTTTTCAAGATATTAGTTTTTGAATAAAAGGATAAATAAATAATACAAATGAATCATAACCTAATGTACTGACATTTGATGTGCAGATGTCAATAACAGGTAAAAACCTCAACATGCATACTTCTATAATTATATATCAATGGCCATGTATCTATCTGAATCATTACACCAGCTACACATCAATATAGAATCTACAGATATTATTCTAATATTGACAGTACTGGAAGACAGTATGGATTGATGATTGTAAAGCCAGAATGATTGAGACATAAAGATAGTTGAGAAGATTGGGATGAAAGATCATGATTTAAAAGAGATTGATATGAGAAGTTTTATTCCCAGTCCCAGAGGAAATAGATGTACAACGTGATTGTTACTTGGTCCCATCAGTTTTCTTGATTGGAAATAATATTGACCAGGTAAGCTAAACTAATCAAGCACACATTCTTACTTGCATGATGGTTGCCCAGCAATAACACTTTCCCATCGATATTCGATATGACAATATATCATTTTCAAACGGCAACGCCTTCTTTTGCTGACATGTCTGTGTTTAGGTTTTCAATTTTACCTGATGCAATCCTGCATGTATCCATCCATCAAATTGCATGAAATGAATATTATTCAAAGCTCTTATTTTAATGAAGCTTGGTTACCTGATTGATTTGGGTAAGGCTGTAAAAGAGTGGACTGCAAAATTGTACGCAAGAATAATATTCATGATCATATCAAAGCTCTTATCATCTGGAATGAAGAGAGAGGGAGAGAGAAAACACATTTTTTTTAAATGAAATATGAAGTGTTAAATTGTTATCAGTCACCTCTAATTCCTTAAATTATAGTGATCAATAAATATTAAGTCAATCTGTATTTATCTATTCAGTACTGGCATGAACGGGAAGAATTATCTGTGCTTATTATATGCAGGCAAACATGAAATACATCTCTTTAATAAAGGGCACTTCACGAATAGACCTCTGCACTTGAGTATGGACATGGTTGGTGGAACTCCCAAGGATTATTGGATCTTTCCATCATGTTTTCCACTGTCCCATGTGGCCCGTAACTTCACACTTCGGCAAACTGGTCACATCTGCAGTTACTCCAGTTCTAAATCCATCTCATCCATTTTTGCAATTACGCATATTCCTTGACGCTCAGTGCTGAAATATGTATTTTGAATGAGAGCTTTCCGCATAGCATCCTCTTGGGGGCGCTAGAGATGCTCCTATCAACCTGCATTAGTAATGTTCCAAGCCAGCAGACTTTGTGAAGCATAACACTCATAATATTCTTGTATAGTGCATATCACATTATGATATAACATCTCTACTCATTAAAAGAATGAATCCTACTACATACCCACCTACTACTCCTGGGTTGAGTGTGGCAATTGTAGATTAATGTCGTGCCAAAAGGACATTAGTGCATCGGCAGGATTTGAACCCTTTACCTTGTAGTTCACAGTCTAAAGACTTATCCATTAAACCACAACACCTCTACTTTTCTTAGATTCCTCTTGCATGCATAGAATGGGGATTAAAAATGATATGCATGCACATTAACATCTAAGCAAAATAAATAAATGAAAAATAATACCATGGATATTCCTGATGTAACAACAAAAATCCAATATTTAGGAGATTAGAGTAAGCAGTCAAATTTAACCCTTTTTAAAAAATATATCGATATGAATTATGTATATAAATCCTCTCTTATATCATGTTTTTATATAGTCTCTTTTTATTTTATGCAGCAACGAGCCATTCTGTTGTCTGTCACCAGCAACAGCATGTCTTTTTTGTGACAAGCAATTAGTATGAGTGGGACTAAGGGAGAGTCTGTGGGTCAGTGATGAGTGATAAGAAAAGCTGCTAGGATTATCCAGATATGATATGCCTGAACGAAAGGTCCCATGCAATTATCAGCGCTACTGCAATAATCGTTCTTGCTTTGTTGTCAACATTTTGGACGTTGTTGCATGCAAGAGGAATATTACAAACAACCAAAGAATGTAGACTTCCATTCATCATACGATCCATAAAGACTGATCTAAGAAACTGTAATCTACATCATAAGGCTTGCACATTCTTACTGAGACATACACAAGATAACCCCAAAGAAATGTATAAGAAGTATTTCTGATGAAATTTGTAGGTTAGTAAGAAAGAAATGATAGTCCCAGTTAGATTTCCAATTCAATATTAGTCACAGAATTACTGGGGTTTTATTTGCTTTGATGCATATCTCAGTATTGATCCGGCATGAATGAGACAGGGAATATTTACAGTGCAATGTTTCATTTGAGCAGTGCAAATAGAGTTGGGCCTTGAAACTGATTCAAAATCCATGCAAAGTGTAATATAACATAGTAGGTAAACAAAAGTAATGGATGGGTTAAACAAATACTCCTTTGATACAGACCAAACCTGATCATTGGGAAAACCTTGAATTCCAGCTGCTGCAGATGTAATGTAAGACTAATCGGGCTTGTAGTAGATGTGTATATTGGTGTGTAGGCGATGTATGAGAGGGACAGAGATGGATAGAAAGGAGAGAGCCAACCACACAGATAGACAGACAGACTCACAGACAGACAGGCAGAAAGATAGAGACAGACATGCATACAGATGGTGACAGACAAAAACATACATACAGAAAGAGAAGAATAGAGAAGAGAAGAGAGAGAGAGACAGTTTAGATGAGATTTGTGCTCATTTTCGGTAGTACTTTAACAGTAAAAACATGGCTTTTTGTATCAATGTTACAGGTACTGGCATCTCTTTCATTGTGCCTGAACATGTGTTTGTCGAGATTGATGATGGATGATTTAACTCATCTAATTTTGGACAGTAGGCTAATTGGTCTAATTGGTAGTAGACCTGCTTCTCTTTCAAGTTAATGACACCTTAGGCATAATGCATGGTTTTTAAGAGCAAGGTAGACAATTTGCTCATGAAATTGCTTTTAGTTTTAGGTCAAGGAATTATGGAATGACAATTCATCAAGTTAATACCCTCATGTGGGAGGATCTGGAAATCTGGAGGATTTAGAAATATATTTCTAAACTTAAAGCATGCCTCACCCCATAGACATTTATGATAACTTTATACTGACCCGTTCAACTCTCCATTGCATTTTTCTATGATCTTTTGTTGACATAGGCCATATTTTTCTACCAGCATGTCAACATGAAATCCAATGATGTGAAATTGCAAGTCCTGTCCAAAGTCTTATTTTATCATTGTCTCGCTATTTTTTACCAAACACCCTTTTCCGTTCTTTTCATCTTTGGAATCTGCTGTATAAAGTGTATCCGCCCCTCTGATCCGTCCTTACGGTTAATCTCTTGATGGTTTATCCCATGATTTTAGGTCAATGCACAACAAATCCATAGACTTTCCCAACTTTTAGTTCTCAACACAAATTTAGGCATGCCCTGATTAACACAATCTTTTCCTGTGTGCACTCTCAAGTTTGATAGACATCTTCATTCCATCATCTTCATTCTTTCAATTTTTTACCTTTCTGTTACTCCTTCTCCATCCTCTTCTTCTCATTCTTCTTCTTATTTTTCATCTTTTTCTTCCTTTTCTTCTTTTTCTTCTTTTCTTCTTTTTTTCTTCTTTCTTCTTCTTTTTCATGTTGTTTTTGTTGTTCTTGTTCTTGTTCATAGCCAGATTTCTTCTTCTTCTTCCCTGAGTTGCCCCTGTCTCCCGGATCAAATCAAATCAACCTTGGGGCTTCTGGTACTTTTCTTCCTTTGCCCCAACCAGATTAGAGTATCGACTATAAAACCCTCCACGTTCCCTGGAGCGTGTTTTCACGCGATGACTCAGTCCAATTTGGCTGCAGTTTGTGCGCAATTTGTTAGAGGACAGCTTTGAATCTCAACTTAAGGAGGAGGCCCTGCAGGTCTAGGACGGGTGTTTGAAAATCAGGGACATTTTGGTTTGAAAGTCAGTACCCTGCCTGGGGCTTGAACCTTTTTGTCTCCAAAGTGTCAATTGTAGATGAATAGAGGAAGGAAGTTGTGTATCACCACTGAGTGCATAGCGGTTAGGCGATGGAGATCAACGCTTCTCCATCATTCACTGACAGCAATGACTGCCATTTAGGGAAATATTCCAAACAAAGGAAATGTAATCATTCATTACACAGGTGTTTGACCCTTCAAATGTTTTTCATGAAATTGAATGTTTTAACCAAAGTTAACACGTACGGCTTTTACTTGTCAAGTTGATTATACATCATTGTCTATAAAGCCTATTATAATAAAAAAATTACTACATATGTAATTATGTATGATGCTCCAAACGCTAAAGTAATTTTAGTGACTTTAAATCCTAAAGGCCATTTGACTTAAATTTTACACTTTAAATCAAGGGAGTTGTGTAAAGCAAAGGACATTATTTAATCTGAATATGATAATTTGAGTGTGGATGACATACACAGTGATTAAACCCTACTTGCTATCTACCTTAGATATGAGGTCACTGTCGTGCTAGAAGTGAGACTATATAACATGTAAAATGACTTTCACTATAAAGCGATCATTAACTAACAAGCAACCATCTGTATGAAGGTAACATCGTTCTAAAAACAAAATAGAAAAGGTAAAGTATTTAAATCCAATTTTAGCCCAAATTCAAAATCTGTTTCGTTGTATTTTTAAAAATTTGTTGTTTTTTCTCCTTCCATTACCCAGGATCATCTCAGTACCGCTTCAGCAATCATCGCTTCTCCATGGAACCTCGCGATGCTCTTGTGGTCAATGGTACCGGTCTTACACTCAACTGCTCCGCCCAACTTTCAGATGATGTCGACATTGAATGGTACAAGAATGAGAATTATATTAATGTACGTAATTCACAGTACTACAACCTTCTACCAACGGGAGCATTACAGATCATGGCAGGTACTCCTGCTCAACAGCTGACGGGTGTCTACTACTGTACCAGCTATGTGAAGGCTCTAGGACTCATTGAAAGCCGCAAGGCTCATGTCACACTTGCAAGTAAGTTTATTTCTCTTAGGTGGTTCTCTCTCATTCTTTACAACCATATACCTTCAGGAATGACTGATTGATTCACTTGAGCACTAGAGGTTCTCCAATGATAATGGCTTCTTTTATAGCACTCATATCCGTTACATAGTGTGCTCAGGGCACTTATATAGGCATCATTACCTAGCTGGCTGTAGCTGATCCACCAAAGTAATTAGTGCTCAATCATATTGGGTACCCATTCACTCCTGGGTGGAGAGTGCCAAATGTATTGTCTTACTGAAGGAAGTTAGTGCCCGACTGGGATTCAAACACTGCACCTTAGGATCTACAGTCCATGTGATTTATTCACTAGACCCCAACGCCTCCAAAGAGTTATTCAGCACTTCTATGTAATTAGTGAACATATGAAATTCCTGTTGGATAAGATAGAATTTCAGCTAAATAATGTTAGACTCCAGAAATGAAACACCAGCCAAATGTATGTCAGACCAAGTGGTCATTAGGTTAAATTGTTTCATAGGTTTTATCTGTCAGTAGAAACATATGCACTACAATTCCACCTTGCTGTGACTCTTTAAACTTGAGCATGTTAGTCTCTATTGATGACTAGTAGGTCTGGTTGCAGGATATTAGAAACACCTCATGGGGTGCAAAGAGAAGCGAATTAATGCTGTCCGTTTCATCCAAATCCTTCTATAAACTTTTCATAGGATGAAGCGGCAACATGTTTACCCCAAATGTCAGCCGTGTCAAACTCTGCTCCTGAAATTTGTGATTTTCCCATCGCCGAGTTGCTTTAGAGAGTCTGTTTTCCTCGCTCATGTGTACATATTCAGGATGGTTGATTTGATCTCCCCTTGCTGTGATTAAAAGCTTGAGAAAAGGAAAAGGGGGAAAACACCAAGAGTGTGATCATGCAAGTGGGATGTATCCCCTTGGCTTATTAGTATGTGTAAAGTTGTGTATGGTTGACATGATGTTCATGCATTTATACATGGGATGTGTTGATGCTTACGTAATTGATTTCAATGAACACTGAAACAGTGTTGGTAAGTATATGCAAATGGGAGGGCAGATGATTTTCACAAGAGTTTTTTCAACAGTCACAAAGATGTTAGAATTTTGGAAGGGACTTAATATCTACAGGAGATAACTTTTATATTCTAAAAATGAAGATCATTTAATAAATGTCTTTCTTCACAACAATTATGCTGAAACTATCATGAATATAACTCGCTTCTTCAAAATGATCAGCAGATTATTGTTGCGAGATGTAAAAGAAACTTACAGAGAGTGGCAGAAAATTATTGGAAGCTTTGAGAGAAAGAGACAAGATGTTCATGTAGGATAGTTCAAGTTCAAAGGAAAGAGAGATCGAGAGAGAGTGAGAGAGAGGGAGGGAAAGGGAGAGAGAGATCGAGAGTGAGGGGGAGGGAGAGGGAGAAGAAGAGGGAAAGAGAGATTGAGAGAGATAGAGAGTGAGGGGGAGGGAGAGGGAGAGGGAGAAGAAGAGGGAAAGGGAGAGAGAGAGAGAGGGGGGGGGGGGGGGAGGTTATGAAAGAGAGAGAAATTGTTACACATCATTTACAATATGCCAACACATCATTTGCTGGGCCGATAAAATAAACATGTCAAGACTGTCTAACTCAAACACAGGGAGCTCCTTGCTAATAAAACACTGCATCAAGCTCTCATATTCATCCCCCAAGAATGATTGGGAGGCAAAATATAGAATTTGTTAAAGCCCGATCTGATGGGGATTTGGCTGTATGTCTGTTGAAGGCCCAATTACAGTGGGATTACTGTCATCATAGCTTAGAATGAGTCAGTTATAATGGACCTGACGTATTTGATCTTCTTCAAGACGAGATGTTTAAAGAGACGATTCACTGTTTGCTTCTAATCAAACTTCAGTTGGGATTTTGATGGATGGGAGGGAGATGGGGATTGGAATATTTTTGAATGATGTGAGGATATTTGATCATTTTTCTGGAGTGTGTGAACGTTGGGCACAATCAATACTAAACTTTATACTCTCACCTGCCAGTGAAGTTGTGCCCAAGATTAATGATTTTATTCAAGTAAATGCATCTAGGCCTACATACAGTTTATACCTCATCTGCAATATACATGTGTACAATCAAATTATTTATCTCATGTATATATTTTGATTTTATATTCATTCTAATTTCTATTTAATACCAAAAAAAAATTATTCAAGCAAGTGCTCTTTATTGCTTTCCTAAAGTGTAGAAGAAAATTTTTCTTGTAATATGGACCAGTTATTCAGAATATATACCAATCTGGAACCAAATAGCATTATGTTGAAATATAACATATTTCTTTTCAAAGAAAAAAGTGTGATCCCATATAAAAAAGTTAAAATGGACACCAACTTTGCAGAACAATTGAAGAGAAGTTGCAATGGAGTTCATGGGGATGATAAGCTTTGAACGAGGTAATGTGACAGTGGTTATTCCATTGTTCCGAGGTGACTTCAGTCCAAGTATGAATCACTGCCCCTCCTCTGTTTGCTGAAACATAAGTTCCCATCAAAACCCTAGCACATCCAACTCGAGTGGCGTAAGAAAATGTGAATATGATCTGAAAGCATCATAATTCCTGCGAAGTGTAACGAAACTAGATGTCCCTCCATTCCCCAGAGTCCCACTGCCTTCTTTGCCTGCTCCTAGTACAGACAGGACATGTCCCTTCATTATGGCATGGAACCTGAGAATAGGGGAGAGCGGGGGAATCTTGAAGTAGCCCATGCAAATTAACCCCCTTCTTTTCCATCCTTAGTGGGGTGGGACCTGGCTTTGATTCGCTTGGCAAACACTGGGCGTCTGGAGTGGGGTTAAACATGGTATCCTGAGAATGACTCATGGTGTATTAGCTATCCCCTAAAAGACCACTCCAGATCATCCTTCGATACTCCTGTCCAAAGAAACAGGTCCTGTCACTCAAAATGTGCAAGGCTTCCATACAGAGATGGAGAGACAAAGAGATCGACTAAAACAAAGAAGTAGGAAAGAAAAAAAGAGTAGGAAAGAAAAAAAGAGATTGAGAATGATAAAGGGAAGGTAAAAATGTATATTGTAGGCTAGGCATGTGTTAGACAGAGAGAGGGGGAGGTAGGGAGAGAGGAGGAGGAGATAGGGAGAGAGAATGAGAGAGATAGAGAGAGACAGAAAAAAGATAAAGTGAGAGAGAGTGTGTGTATGTGTGCGTTTGTATGTGCGCGCATATTGTGTTAGAGAGAGAGGGATTGAATTGAATTTCATTTGTTTCCAAACACAGTAAAATGACATCATACATTGTTGTTAAAAATAGGCAAAGAAAAATACATTGAAATATACATTGGGGAAAAAAGAAAAAGAAGACATAATTAAATCTACTTAAAGTAATCTTGATAAAAAACTTATCAAGATAAAACCAAAAAAAGTATAGAATCGAGAAAGGTACATCGGCAAAAGCCACAGTGGCTTGATGAATGGGCGCAACCTAAGTGCGTCACAATATAATTAACAATAAAAGCTCAGTCTGCTGAAAAAGAGTAAAGCTACAGTCCCATATACGTCCCGGACCGTCCCGGATCATCCCGGACCCCATCCGGGGTGATCCGGGATTCGGTCCGTGTTGACACCGTGTTGGCACCGGGGTGGTCCTGGATGGTCCTGGATGGTCCTGGGCGGTCAATAACTCACTCCCGGACTGCCACGGATCAACACGGCCCGCCCCGGCGCCACTACGGATGACCCCGGACGCAGCACGGTGGCTACACGGATCACCCCGGATCAAACTATTGTCCCGGACCGTCCCGGACCACCCCGGCAGTTTTTGACCGTCAAAAACATCCGGGGTCGACTCCCGGAACGCCCAGGACCATCCAGGACCATCCAGGACCATCCAGGACCACCCAGGACCACACCGGTGCCAACACGGTGTCAACACGGACCGAATCCCGGATCACCCCGGATGGGGTCCGGGATGGTCCGGGACGGTCCGGGACGGTCCGGGACGTATATGGGACTGTAGCTTTAAGGGATAAACGATGCTTACAAGATATCATTTAAGAGAACTATACAATGAAAAGAAGTGCTGCTTAAGTTTACTTTTAATCGATTTGGTGAACTGAATTGATTGTAAAGAATGTGGTAATGAGAGACTTGTGTGAATAGATTGGACATGACTGAATCATATTTGAATAAATTGTAGTAAGAGTGTGCACAGTACATTACAGAACAGGTATGCTAGTTTCCAAATGACCCTCCCTATTCAATAACAGAGATATATGGTTATTTCTCACTTGACAGTTGACTATTTCACTATACGTCACAGAAGTAAGGGCTGATTAGCATTCAATTCTCAAGTTCATGATTTATTATTTATTTTATTCAATAGAATGTTTGAAAATCACAATCCCATAAGTCTTTACTGAGATTAGGTATGATCTGTACGCTACCTACCGTGAAATGTCATTGCAGTATGCTGGATTTATGCATCGTTCAGGGTATTACCCAGTGTTTCTATAGATTGATTCAATACAGGCTTTGGTTTAATGTGAAAAAGAGCTGCCATTGACATTGAAATACAATCGCTCTGCCTGGAGGGTGTGATGCCTTTAAGAGCATTCATTTCTCGTAAGAGTAAAAAAGTTGATTTATGTTGAAGGTCACGTTTCATGGAAGTCAATGCTTGAAAAGAGACCGCAAGCCAAACTTTCCTCATTCTTTTGATTATTCCGGTTCCTGTAATTGCTTCCGTGGAGTTTGTTTACATTGATTTTGACGAAGAAAATGAGGATCCTTTAACTTTTGAACACGGGACAGACAACCATGCATCATATTCTTTTGCTAGCGAATGTATCTGATGCATATTACAGATCTAAGTTTGCCATTCAAGTACATACTAAATTATTAAAGTACCTTAGCCTTACTCCAATATGAATAATTGCAGTTATTAAGAGGAAGTAAGGTAGTAAAGGCTTTTAATTCTGCTGGAGGAGA